TTTTTGTTGGGGGGGGGGGGGGGGAGGGGGCGCGGGCGAAGGCAAGGTATGAAGCGGAGGAATTTGTGAAGCTGAAGGAATCGCGAGGCGAAGGAAATTCCGAACAGCCTTGCCCCTGCCCCAGAAGTATTTAGGGCTGTAAAGTCGTCGTCCCCCCTCCGTCCCTCGGAAATGTGGCCGCTTGGAAAGGGAATGGTGCCCGCGTCATCTGTCTGCGCGGCAGTCGAGGGCGTGAGCCAGCCCTGGTGGATTGGGCAGTGCCCGAAGGTGTGAGGGTAGGAGGTATTGTTGTAACGGAGGAAGGTTGGGTGGTGGAGATCCTATCACAGCGGGCGGGGAAAATAAACTTCGTTGCGTGTTGTTCTCTGAGTGAGTAGCGGTACTGTAGTAGTGGGGGGGTGGTGTGTCGGTGTGTTTGAGGCGGCTGGACGGTTGGCCGGTCAAGCAGTTCTCGCCGCACAAGCCGCTTTCTTTCGTGGAAGGCGTTGGGGGGGGGGGAGGGGGGGGGGTCAGTAACCCGGAAACCCCCATGTTCGGAAACATCGAAGGGAAGAAACAGCGTGCCCTCTGGTACGGCTGCTGCCGCCCTTGGAATTTCGTTCTCAACTCGCTTGCGGATGTGTACGGAACATGGGTTAGGCATCGAGATAGATGGTATGGATTGGTGCATGCTGGATCGGTGTGCGTTCGTTTCGACGACCGCGAGGTCAAAGCGCACCAACCGGCCGTACTGCACAGCAGTTTGCGTGAGTCGTCCTACGTAGGCGGGAAATCATAGTAGAAAGCGTAGACGGAAGCAGAGGCGAGAGTTTACGAAAACAGAAACCCCCTGTTCCTGTTTTTTTTCTGTTTTTTTTTTTTCCCTTCTTTGTGAGCGTGTTTTCAGTCGATATAAGGAGTGTGTATGCGACGAGAGGGCCTAACGTACGCGCAACGTCCCGCTGTCGGTGTGGTGTTCCGCCTGCAGCGGTCCGTTAGAGCGGGGGTTGGAGAGAACGAGAGAGGGCGAGAGAAGAAAAGAAGAGCCCACTCGGCGTGTTTTGTGATGTTCGGCGTTCGTTTAGTTTAACCTGCGCGCGCATGAGGGCGGGGAGGGTAGGGTGGTAGTTCCGAAAGTGTTTCGAACTTAGTTGAGTGTTGGATAAAACGCAAAAAAATGATGGGCCATTCGGGCGCTATATACCCTTGTTTACGCGTGCGTTCAGTATATATACTACACTCATATAACAAACAACCAAAAAAATCGAAAAAAGCCTGTGTTTACATTTTTTTCACGGAGCGACTTTCTCCATCATGGAGATTTTTGCGCTCTCGCTGGAACTGCTGTTGGCGGTTCCCTGTACTTCCGAGATTTTGTTTTTTATTGCTGCTTCCGTTTCTCCTTCGGGCGAGCGGGTGGGCGTGTAATTGTTGGGCACGAGTTATCATGGCGGGGCTGCCGTCGTGCCGCGTGGTCTCGCGAGCACCCCCGAAAAAGTCAACGACGGGGGGGGGGGGGGGCTCTCGGGGGCCCCCCCCCCCACCCCCCACCCACCAGGGTCCCCTCCGTCTTCCCCCGTGAGGCTTATGGGGCGGC